TCCCCTCCCCATCACTGGAGAGCATCAAACCTCGCTCCTTTAGCCCTGTTCTGCCCCTGCACACACAACCGCATTGACCCCATCTCATCTTTTCCTCCTTCTTTCCCAGCAGAAGGGGACGGGATGATGCTGGGGCATATTTTGGGGCTCAGGTCATCCCCTCTCTGATGATCACACACGAATCCGTCGCTGCTACCAAAATCAGAGGCCCGTGAGCTCATCCCCGCCGGATGCTCGGAGCTTTGGACCGAGAGCATCGCGCGAAATAGGGAACACATGGCGGGGATAATTGCCTGTTGCTTTAATTAATTTTCTTTATAGAGGAAATGCCAAAATCTTGACTGGGTTGCTCTGCGGGGCAGTTGGCCGAACAGGGGACTCAGGGTGCCTCAGCGTGCCTCAGCAAGAAGGTTTTGTGAGCTGGGGATGAAGGCAAATCCCCTTTTTTCCCCTGATTTGGTGTTTAATGGTGAAAGGTTGGGGGTTTCGGAGCCCTCTGCATGAAATAGGGCTGTGGAAATCCCATCTCTGCGTTACCCCGAGTGGTTCATTGATGCATTGAGTCTCCATCAACCACAGCGGCTGGAAATTGGGCAGCGCAGGAAGATGCTGCGTCCCCAAGGCACAGGTGAGGGCTGGGGTGCTGCAGGCAGGTTTTGGGGTACCGGATGGGGTTTGAGGACACCCATGAAGCATAACTCACCCCCCCAGAAGCAAAGGAGCCTCTCGGATGCCGATCTTCCATCACCTTGTGCACGAGCATCAACAAATATTGAAAATCAATGGGCCACCGCACGGAGCGCGTTGCAGGAGAACAGCCTTGAGGAGCAGAGGGGAAGAAATATCAGCTAAAAATCAAAATTAATCTCTTGCAAAGCTGCAAGATTTGCGTCTCATCCCCCCCCCACGCTGCAATCTTTAATGTCGTTTTCTTTAATTACAACTGGAGCAGCAGGGCTGGAGTTGGCCATAAATTGGGCGTCTGGATGATACAGGAGAAAAATAACAACCCCCCAGGACCAAACATCTGTCCACACGGAGCACGGGCAGTGTTATAATTAATATTAATGACTAATAGTTAATAGAGAGGGAAACTTTTCCTTTACAGGGCACCCGATAACCCCAGCCCTGCTGCAAGCCCCAGAGGGAGCCGGTTTCCATGTCATGAGCTTGGCCGGGCTCTGCCCAGGTGCTGGGGTCCTGCCCCATTTCAGTCCCTTTCCCACCCATTTCGGTCCCTTTTCCACCCGTTTTGACCCATTTCCCACCCATTACAGCCCCTTTTCCACCCATTTCGACCAATTTCCCACCCATTTTGATCCATTTCCACCCATTTCCGCCCCTTTCCCACCCATTACAGCCCCTTTTTCCACCCATTTCAACCAATTTCCCACATATTTCTGCCCCTTTCCCACCCATTTCAGCCCAACTACGGCCATTCCTGCCCCTTTCTGCCACTCCCTCATCTTCTCCATTTCCTTTTCCAACAACAGAGAACCCAAAGGAAAGGAAACCAACGCAAAGGATGCTGAGAACATCCCCTGCTGCACTCTAAAGCCAACCACAGGGTAAAACCCATCTCCACAGGCCCCAAACTGCACCCCATTCGTTACTTCTGGAGCAAGGATGCACAGCAATGGATTAATGAACCAGAGGGGGGGAAATAATCGTGACCCCCATGCGGATGCCCGAGGGTTTCTGTCCTTTAACCCCCGTACGGGGTCCGAGGAGCACACACAAAACGCCCAGCGCCGCTTTCCACGTGTCCACTCTGCCACAATTCCTCACACGTTGGAAATACAGATGATTTTTAGCCTGGGTCCATCTGGTTTCCCAAATAACCTGTCTGTTTGATAAATAACATAAATTAAATTAGACAAGACAAACAAATAGGTTTTTTTTGCTCTCCCCCTTTCAGTCTCTTGGCAAAAAAGTGGGGGGGGGGGGAAAGGGCAAGAAAACATAATTCAGTGACTGCCTTGAGCCCCCGAGGAGCTGCACGGTGGTGAAGGCCATGATTATAAACGTGTCTGCAATGTAAACCTTTAACACGCGCCCAGGGCCGCTCCTTCCTCTGCTCCCAAGCCCTTCCTTAACTTCTCTGCTCTCATTCGGGTCCCCAAGAGCTCACCCTCTGCAGGTGATGCTGCACATGGAGCAGCTCCCCTCTCACCAAGGCTCCTGCAGTGCAGGGTCTGGAGCTCAGATCCAAAAGGCTCTGCTCCTCCTGTGGGCAAGGGAAACTGAGGCACGGAGATGGGCAGTTATTGCAGGTGGGTCACTTGTGAAAATCCTGCTGTTTTGCCAAGGTGCAGCCGCTTTTGCAGCCCAAACCCAAGCACCAGCAGCTCCAGATGCTGGGAATTAGCCCAAGAGAGGGGATTAGAGCAGAAAAGCAGCGAGTCAAGTGCAAGGAGCTTCAGCCCAGGATGGCTCTGCAGGAACAGGGCTCTGGACCCCCATTCCCACCCCATACCCCTCTCTGCATCACCCCCTCTTTACCTGCTGGCACCA